CCAAAGAGAGATATTCTTTCCACTCTGGATGGCAGGAGCATTAAAAAAAAAAAAAAAATAAAAAGTATCAAATGAAACTTTTCATTATACTCAAGGTGGTTTCATTCCAGTGTTAAGAACATTCACATACTTTTGGACATGACAGCAGTACATGATTTTAAGTTGGTGCTTCTCTGTATATTTATAGCAGTGAAGCATATTAGTGTAGAAGCACTGTATGTCCATGTACATTGCTCCTATGTATCTGGTGCTCAAATTTAAATTTATTCTAATGACATTTATATTCCCTGCTAAAGGCATCAGGGGCCTTTTCATGCTACCTCCTGGATCACTCCATTAGTGTTGATAATCTCAGTCCTTAGTGCTCAGCTTCTTATTTACAGTTCTGCATCATACCCTCCCAGACATCTCCTCAGCCATGAAAATTGAATACACAAATTTACTGTCATTTCCAGGGAACTCTCTCTGTATCATGTTAGTTGCTTCCAGATAGTTCAAGAATTCACCTATCTTCCTCTCGCTGTCATACCTGCAAATGCTCAAATTCATCACATTCCAAAACCAGCCTATTCCTAAATTAAAATGCTTAGATTTCTCAGAAGGATTAAGTAGAAAACTTTTCAGGTTTTGGTACAAGAAAGCAAAACAAACAAAAAAAAAAAACAAACCACAAAAACCCAAAACCTCCCACAATCAAAAAACAAAAACCCAAACAAAAAGCATTGCCCACTGTTCTAATGCAACAGGTTGCAAAATTATTTTAATCATTAGAGCTAAAAAATGCTGGCACTTACCCTGACACACTCCCTGTATCTTGTACAAAGCAAGTACTAAAATATGATGAAACATTAATGCCTTCTGCCAAGAGTGAAAACAAAACTGTTACAAGAACAGTAGTTTTCCACTCTTGATGTGGGTCAACAGACCAGGCAAGCACTCGACCTCAAATGTGATAGACCTTCGCCAACAATTCATATAAAAAGTAAACCAGCCATTTCCAAGCTATAATCCAGCCCTCATTACCAAGCCATAATTCAGCCCTGTGAAGTAACAAAATAGGCAGCACTCTGGGGGAGTGAGCAGAATTGCAATTTTCTCTGTTAGTTGTTAAATTTTATGCAAAGGTTTTCATATTATGAAGCATGCTACCACATAGTGCGTGCTGGACTAACCCAGGTGAGCTTCAAAAATTAAGTTCCTAAGCTCTTTAGAGTTAAATCAACTCCAGACTTCACAATTAATAACCAACTGTGAAGGAGAAAAGCAAAACTGCTTTTCTAAAATCCTGCTTAAATTCATTTCAGTACAGTAGGAAGGATAAAACACTTTCGGGAGCAACCAAAAGCAAAAAAAACTGGTAACTAAATACATACAAACAGGCCAGGAATTACGTTAGGATATTTTTAATAAGACTTACTCCCCCCCCCCCCCCCCCTTAAAATTCATTCTCTAGTAGCATGTTTATAGTGCACTGGAACTCACAGTCTGCAGTAAAAGACCACATTCACCTAGATGTGACCATATCAAAATACTCTGTGCCCTGCTGTTGCGCAGTGAACCCCCATGCCACAGAATTATCCTTCAGAACTAGTCCTTTTGTTTTTACAGTACTTTCTTACCCTCACAGCACTGCTGGCACATTTTCTAAAGCTAATCAATATCTCCCTGAAATAAGAGCGGCCAAAAGCAAGAACTGACCACTACAATCAATAAGGTTAAGTTTGACCTTTTCAATACCCCCCATTGTTTACTTTTTAATTTGCCATACATTTTATTAGAAATTTTATGAACATACTTGTACTACTATTCAAGTGATCTTTCCTACCTCCCCTACTGCTGTTACTAGCTCAGTAGCAAAGGTTAGGTCTCTAGAAAACTAGTCTACTTCCAGGTTTTACGTTGGAAATGAGGAGAAACACAGTCCTTGACTGATAACTACTGGTAGGAATCACTTCTATAGCTACAGTTACAGCAGGAAAACAAAACAAAACAAATAATCAAAAAAAACCAACCAAAGGAAACAAATCACACAGCTCTTTTTCTACCCACAGCACAACCCACTGTCAGTGGTGATAATTAAATGCACTAATTCTATTTCACCTCAAGGACTTTGCAGTTTTAATACAACTCACTCATATAAAAAACAAACCTCCTGCCAGAGGTATGTGTAGTCCCAAATATACTGTAAGTTGCGTGTACTGCCACTTTCTTATCCTTCTCTTCAGCATACAACATACTTACTATCCCTCACATTTACTAATATAAATAGGAGTATTCTAATGAATTTATATTGTTGGAGAAATTCTGAATTCAAGAAATATGCTTGGTTTTCAGTTTTTCCAGATGTATGTTAGCCACAAAAACTTCTCACCCACTTACCAGTTATCATAGAGAAGCTAGCCACAACCAATAGTAATATATTTTTTTTTAATGAGAACAAAAGATGGCTTGGTTATTAATCAACAGAAAATAAATGCCCTCCAACCCTTGAGAAATAAGAAGACAGACTCGAGTCATCTCATGATAACTGACTTAATAGCTACGATAAGTATATAGAAACAAAACTGTTAATTTGGCAACCAGACAGCTTTCATCTGAAGCTGGGTGACAGCTAAATACGATTTGTGTTTTAAGGACACTCTCTCAAATAAAACTGTACATTTTGTAAACAGTACTACAGGAGCAATATTTTTATAGCTTAAACCCAGTAATCATCCAAAATAGTTTAATGTTATCCCTGAGTGGTAAAGAGTAAAGAATGGATTAGGTTTTTAATTAGTTAGCAGAATACTACTGCTCCCAGCTGTTCATAGGAAAGCTCTATGATCCAGAAGTGGAGGGTAGGCAGACTGTGATAATTTCTAAAATATTTCTCCACTGTAACAAGTCTAAATCGCTCCATCATACCGAACACTGCTCATTCCTCAGAAAATTAAGAATTTAAGGTCAACTTTAAAGGCCAGTTATTGTCATCAATAAGCAGACCCAAGCTGAGGGTCAACAACATCCCCCCTTCCAATATTTTTCCTCTCTGTTTGCTTCACTATTAAATGGCTGATCTATTCAGGAGAAAGTAGGTGAAGGGGGAAAAAAGGAAGAAAAAAAGTGAAAGTAATCCCTCTACTCTGATACTTCTTTCATGCATGCTCTTTGAACTGGTGCTTCATTAAGACTAGATCCAGTACTCCTGTTAACAAAAATACAGCATGCAGACTTACATCTCATTTCTTGAAGTCCCTTTGCCCCCTTGCTTCCTTCCCCACCTTGCATTCTTTTTGTTAGGCAAGGGAAAGAGAAGCATTTTGAAGAAGCTGAAGAAATTCACATATCCCAACATTTACTCCACATACAAAACTTATGGTTTTCCTACAGGTGCCAACTATATTTCTATTTCATGATAATGCAGCCCTGAAAATGCCAGAAAACTTCTCTAATCACCTAAGATGCCCAACCAAGTCTTTATACTCAACATGTTACCATGCATCACTTTTAAAACACAAAGTATCATTGATAAAGAGAGACCCAAGCAATTTATTCCACTAGCGTATGCATATTATTTCAACCTAAGATATTGCAGGCAGTGTTTTTCTTGGCAGCTGTAGCAGGGCTGGTGTTTCAAAGCTCTGAAGCCAAAGCTCTAAATTTTAGCCACTGAAGAAGTTAAAAAACTCCTTCAATGAAAAATCTGTGTCTCACTATTATTACAAAGCTGAATGCAGAAAATATTGTAAATGACAATTCACAGGGTCAGTAAGGTCTAAAGATATTCTAAACTTACCTACATGCCATCACTGGAAGGGTAAGGTAACAGAGTCAGATCCAGCTGCAAAGCTTGCCACCCAACACGGAGGCTCACACCAACATCTATCCAGTGAAAAGTCCTCCCATCTCCAAGCAATCGACAAAGCTAACCCTTCAAACAAGTATATCTCTTAATGCAAAATATACTGCTTATCAATATCCACTACTTTCAAAGTAAGTGCCTCTGTCTTAGCTGACAAGTTGAATGCTAGCTCTGAGCTTGGCATGATATATTAAAAAGTCAAATTATCTCATTACAAAAGTTTTTAATGAAAACACAGATGAATACAAATGAGAGTACCTCTGCAGGGAACTCCAATGACAAATCGAGTCTTTGTCACCAAATGAATGACACATTTGATTAAAGAATTTTCCCCAAGCAAAAATAATTTTACCCACATACCAGTCACGTTTTCTCAAATGCAAGCAATTTCCTTTAATCCTTAAAAGCCTGCATGCAATGCATAGTTATTACACAGAGCTATAAGGAGCTACACTTCCAAATAAGACTGGATTAAGATTTATCCATACTGAAAATCATCTTTCTCCATTGGCTGTCCTATGGATTTTTAGGGAATAAGACATCTGATCCAATTATTCTACATAGAAGAGGGTCTGAAAAAACAAACAGCTTAACGAAAGCCCCAGGAAGAATACTACTCAGAGTGTGTATTTCATATATACGCTACGCCACGGGATGAGTCCAAGGAAGGCAAATACATGATTCTGATGTATTTGCTACCACTATAGTCAGCTACCACAGACTATAAAAGTTGGCAAGAAACAGGTGTTAAATTCGTATCGGAAGCAGTGACAGCAAGTGTGAAGGAAGAAGACACAGCTACAGTTTCTGACACAGTGCCTTTCTCCACCTGATACCCTGCTGGAAATGATGACATTTTCACAAGAGCAGCCGGGTTGCTCCCAGTACATTTATCAGCATCATGCCCCGCAAATACTGTTCAGCATGGTTATATGCATGGGCTTTAAGAAAAACAAAAGACTGGGAATACAGAGCAATAAATCATATATGACATATTTCAAAATAACGTATTTTAAGCAGGGGCAATTCGTAAAAACAACAATGGCTTGTGGCTCTGTTAATCAGCTCTCCCTTTCAAAGTAAGGCATTTGGCAATGCCTCACTCTTCGGGCTAGTGTTGCGGTATGCGGGTGTGATACGGAGCTTTGTACGCTACCTCTCCGTGTAGCTTCCAGAGTATGTGTGCACACACATTTATCTATATTCCCGCAGCACGCTGGTCCCCAGGGATACCTCAGGGCTTCAGAAGCTCCCCGCAGCTCTGCAGCAACGCCAAAGGCACCAAGCTGAAGGGAGGCAGAAAAGGTCCGGGTCTTTCCCGGGGCCCCACCGTCGGTCCCGGCAGCCCCGCACGGCGGGCGGGGGAGCAGCCTGACAGGGACTCCGGGCGGCCAGAGCCGCCTGACGCAGCGACTGCCCCGCTGGGGTCGGGTGAACCTGACCACGGCTTCTCCTCAGACAGCCCCGCAACCTGGAGAAGAGCCCCCTGCGGAATACCCCCACCCCACCATAACAGCCCCTCCTCCACCTCGCCCGCACCAGGTCGGGCACCGCTCTCCGTACCAGACACCCGTCCGAAGCACCATGCTACAGCGGGCGGCTCCGCACCCTTCCCTGCCCCACTAGGGGGAGAGACCCGGCGGTGGCGACCGCAGCCGGCCCAGCCCAGCCCAGTCCAGTCCAGTCCTCGTCCGTCACCCTGAGCTCACCGCCCGCCGGGCTCCCGCCTCAGGCCGCCGACGTCGCCCTACACAACTCGCTCCCACCGCCCTCTCTCGCCAGCGGTGAGCCGCAGCTCCAGCGGCACAATATGGCGAGCGGCAGCCTCCGCAATGGAGCTCGGGAAATAGAGGGGAGTTACATATTCATGGCCGGGGCTGGGCAGGGGGAGCGCGGATGGAGCTGCCGTGACCGGGCCTCCCAGCTCCCTCCCTTTCTCCCTCCTTCCCTCTCTGCCGGGGTACGGCGCTGGAGGGGGGCTACTGTCTTCTTTCCCCGCCTTCCTCGCACCTCTGCTGCGGCTGCCCGGGCCCCGGCTCCCCGCCGCCTGTCAGCGCCAGTGCCGCGCTCCTGCTCCCCTCATCGCACTTCTGGTCTCGAGCGCTGGGCGATGCGGCACCGAGCCCGGCGGGACTCCCCAAGGCCGCCCTTACTTTCCCCAGCCAGCGGCCGTCGCTCTCCCGCGTCATGGCTTCTCTCCATTAACAGCCTACAGCAGGGCTAAGCTCTCAAGCCAGCAGTGGCCCCCAGCTCCGAGCCGGCGCCACGGCCCTGGAGCGGCGCCAGCTGAAGCGGTGCTGGTTTGCGAGAGGGAGTCAGGGAGCCGCGTTCCTTGAGGCCGATCGGTGCGATCTCGTATTTTACACTCAGCGCCTCGGGGCTGAGCCTTCCGCAGCCTGGGTGCCTGCCCCGGAGCTAGCGGGTTAGCGTGAGGTGGTGCGGGCTACTCCGTAACGAGAAAGGCAAGCGGGATGGCGGCAGCGATGTTCTGAGTGAAGTCTGGGCTGACCCAGAGCAGCCGCTTGCGTCTCATCTCCAGGTGATGAAGGGATGGAGTGAGGTTGTTAAATCGTTTCTGGGCAAGAGCAGGTCCACCAGCCTCAGGACACATTGGGCCGAATGCATGGCCTCTGTCTGGCCTTTGCTGTGCTTTCCTCCGTGAAGGTGCCCTCTAGACTCCACGGTTCGTGACTGGTCTTGTTGTCAGACACCCTTCCAAAGAGAGGGACTTGCTTGCCGTTTGTGGGCCATGAGATGAAGCTGGACCCCCAGGCAGGACTGAACCATGAAGTTAGGGCAGTGTGGCACCATCATGCAACGTAAAGGCACGATGCCATCTTCATGCTTTTCAAACAAGGGTCAGAAACTGAAATAAGACCATGCTTGTATTTACGATACAAAAATGCACATTAGACATTTTCAAGTGTCTCAGGTGTGCTCTATGGTTGTAATGTGAAATAAACATTTGTCTTCTGGTGTCTGAGTTTTAATGTTTGTTAAATTAAGAGGTTTTATGAGCTTTGGGTCTTCAGTGGTGCATTTATTGGTCTTGTCATTAAGTGTTTTATGGCAAAAGCAAAGTGGTATGCTTAATGTAATTAAATCTGGTGAACAGAGATCACCTAGTTAAATGTTGTCTAGTTAGAGATCACCTAGTTAGATGTTAGATGGTTTAAAACCAGTCAGGCAGCTCTTTCACTCACTCCCCCCGCCTTCTTTCCCTCCCCCTATTCCTGGAGGTACCGAGAGGAGAACCGAAAAGAATGCAACTCCCATGGGTTGAGATAAGAACAGTTTAGTAACTAAGGTATAACACAAATCACCACTGCTACCACCAATAATAACAATGATAAAGGAAATAACAAGGGAAGAGAATACAACACCTCACCACCAGCCGACCGATAACTCGCCCCCCCCAGCCTGACCAAGCATCGATCGATACCTCCTCCAACCCCACAGTCCTCTAGCCCTTCCGGGTAACTCCCAGTTACATCCTGGGCATGATGTGCTGTGGTATGGAATACCTCTTTGGTCAGTTTGGGTCAGGTGTCCTGTCTTTGCTTCCTCCTGGCTTCCCCTCCTCCCTGGCAGAGCATGAGGCTCACAAAGTCTTTGGCCAGACCAAACATTTGAGCAGTAACTGAAAACATCAGTGCTACCAGCACTGTTCCCAGGCCGAAAGTCAAAACCACAGCACTGCACCAGCTACCAAGTAGGAGAAAAATGACTGCTACTGCTGAACCCAGGACAGATGTGAATTTGAATTAATACTTCAGTCTTTACTGATGCAGCAACATCACCTAATATTATTCAATATGGAGTAGTTAAAGCAATTCAGTATAAAATATTTTACATTTTTCTAGTTTTACAATAAATGTTTTCATAATTGGAATATTAACAAAGTCCTGGTTTGGACTATTAACCTCTTTGCAAAATTTCAGATATTTTTAAGAAATACTAGCCTATGACAGGTTATTCCTGGTAGTTCTAAGTAACTTTTTATGTAGTTGCTTTCACTTCCCCACGCTCATTGTGACCTGCACAGCAGCCTATATAACTAAGTACTCACAAGAGCTTGATAAGGTAGTCAGCAATAACATCTCTCTTTTTGAAATGTGATCAAATGTCTCAGCTAAATCTCAGAGGGGGTCAACTGGGGACAGGATTTAAGTCCCTTTTTGTTCTTGATTAGGCTTTTTTTTAAGAATTATTTTTCTTAAGTGGATTATGTTGACCTCTTTAAATGTTAAAGTATAAGGATGGTACAGAACAGAAAAAGAGGTTGTGATAAATTCCTTTCTTTAGAAGGACACTAGTCAGAATTAATGACTGAAATTTTCCTGATGTTTCAGCTCTCCATCAGTGCTGAGAAAAGGAAGATGTCATCTGCCAAGCTATTGCTGTACCAGAAAGTGTCCTTTGGTGAAAATTACTTCACTTGTTAATTGTTTGCAGGACTGTGGTGAATGAAGAAGTTCTTATGTTAATATACCACTCTTAGTAAATTTTTTTTTGAGATTAGGTCACTGTATGTTGCAAAAATAAGATTTGTAAAATTAAAGCATGCAGTTTTAAGGAAGCCAGATTTCCAAAGGCAGATGGAGTGCAAGGTGAGTTGGAAGCATCTGGTAAAATGCAAAACTATACAGTGTCATGTAAATTAACAAACTATAAACATTTTTAAGAACATTTGCTGAATGGGAGACAAAAGGAAATTCAACATAGTTAAGTTGTGCTAGGGGTGTCCAACTCATATTTATAAGAACTTTTGTTTATTTTGGTTATATTTCCTATATTCACCATTTAATAGCAGCACCATGGATCTTCTCTGCAATGTGGTGTTCATGCTACTTTTAAGGGTGTAAAAAAAGCCACCAAATACTTTCTCAGGTGGAAGCTGTCAGTCTGCCAAGATATCAATATGAAGAAAGTTTCCTGTTCAGGGGAAAAATGTGGTGCAGATGCACATTTCTTTTCCATACCAGGTACCTCCCTTGTTGCAGGAGTTAGGACACTACTGCCTCTGTCGTGAAGGCCCTGGGACCAGCATCCTGGGTGGCACAAACAGGGGAATGGCCAGGAGATCAAGAGAGAGATTAGTCCGTTTTGCTCAGCACTTGTTAGATCACATCCAGATACTGCGTCTGGGTGGTTGGGGATGAAACATTTGACCTGACAGGAGAGGCTGGCCATGGGAGTGGGGCTTGGTTAGCCTGGGGTAGGGAAGACTTCAGGGACCTTACACCATCCAACTCCATCCTGTGAGGTTATTGAGAATATGAAGCCAGGCTTTTTTCAGTGTTGCAAGGGAGTAAGGTGAGAGGTGACAGCAAACTGAAACAAGAAAGAGTTTGACTGAATGCGGGGAAAACCTATTCCCCAAGAGAACACTCAGACAGAGTGCAGTTTGCCCAGCGAGATTGTGCCATCATAACTCTTGGAAGTTTTCAAGACCCAATTGGTTCAAGCTCTGAGGAACCAGGTCTGACCCCAGAACTGCCCTGCTTTGAGTGGGAGGATGGACAGACACCTCCTGTGGTCACCTCCAGACCAGGTTATCCCATCAGTATGTGATTCGGCACTCAGAGTGCAGACAAGAAAGGATATGGATAATACTGTATTTCAAACCTTTTATTTGTGAGCACTTTTGTTCTTTGCAGCTTTCCCTGCAGCAGATAGAAAAAACCATGCAGCATGATAGCTGAAAAAGCTTTCATCAGCTCAGGGTTTCCACTGTTACTGATGTAATGGAAACATTTCTTCGGCTTTTTGCAGCAGCAAAATAACAGTAAAGAAAATTACTTGTAACTGAGACATACTGTTTCCATGTTCTCCTTCTAGGTAAAATATTTATTACCTGTTAAAGTTATTGAAGGTCACCCATTCACTGCCTTATAGAAACCAGTATTTAGAGAGAAGAAAAAGAGGAAAAAGTCCCCAACCAAACCAAACCAAACCAAACCAAAAAAGCCAACAAAAAAAAAACCAACCAAACAGAAAAGCACATAATTTTATAAGTCTGGAGGGAGGGAGGTGTAAATAATATACGAAAGGTGGAAAACATAGAAGGAAATGTCCCTGTTGGTGTGTTACTCCACTGTGGTACATTACAGTAAAGAAAGATGAGTGTATAAATAGCTGGCAAGGGAAAAATAAATAGGCAGTGAATTGGAAAGATGAGGTAAGGTGGTGATGTTCCAGGTAGGTTGAGAAACTTGTCTGACCCAGTGTTAGTAAAATATTAAATCCTTTCTCCCATGCTAGCTGTCCTTGTCAAACAGAGCAAGAGAGATTTTGGAGGCATTTACCCTTTGTGCAGACCACAAAGCATATACAAAGCAGCCTTCCTTAGGATCAAATCGGATACAAGCAAGGCAGGAAGAAAGGGCACTAAGATTGTTCTTCTGAACCAACTTTGGCTCAGAATTGATGGGTTTGTTACAATTTAAGATTTTGATTCTTTAAAAATAAAGCAGAGGCAAGCAAGCTGTGTGATCTTTAGTGAAAATTGTTCAATATTATGAATGGAAAATTAAACAAGATTGCTCAGCAAAAATTGTATTGTGGCAAATCACATTCTTGAGGAAGTTCAGAACACAAGAAAACCCTCTGTATACTCGCATGTGATGTTTGTGTTTATTCCAGCTTTAAAACTAAACTATCTTAACAAGAAACTTTTGCTTGACAGTGTTATCTTGAATTGAGAGGCATCATGGGCATAGGTAGATGGACTGATGTGACATGACTGCAGTGGGGCTGTAACTGCAATGTACCTCTTCCTCTTTCTAGAGCTATAAAACTCTGGTGAATATGTCCAGTGGAAACCTAGAGGAAAAACCTTTTTCTATATGATAAGAAAGCTGCAAAAAAGGTAAAGGAAGGAATTACCTTTTTATCGAGTGACAGTTCACTTTCATGAAGGCATTGTGTTTGAAGT